GGACACGTAAAGAAAGACTGTGCCAAGTTCAAGAAGTGGCCTGAGAAGAAAGATAATCTATCTTCATTTGTTTGTTATGAATCTAATATGGTTAATGTTAATATTAACACCTGGTGGATTGATTCTGGTTCTACAATCCATATTGCAAACTCTTTGCAGGGTATGCAAAACCTAAGGAAGCCAGTGGGAAGTGAGCTGAGCATCTTATCAAGCAACAAGATGGGCTCGCATGTAAAGGTTATAGGAACATGCACCCTAACTTTAAGTAGTGGTTTTGTTTTAGTTTTAGAAAGGACCTTTTATGTACCAAGTTTTTCACAAAACTTGATTTCTATTTCGAGACTTGTGCCGTTTGGTTTTTCCTTTACTTTTAAAGACAACTCTTTTAATTTATTTTATAAATCAAGTTGTGTTGGAAATGGTATTTTATCTGATGGTCTTTATCGTATTACTTACAAAATGATGCTACTAATAGTTCAATGCATGTTCATACTGGCATTAAGAGGTGTAATATTAATGAGGACTCTTCTATGTTATGGCACCGAAGATTAGGTCACATCTCTATAGATAGAATTAAGAGATTAGTAAATGACGGAGTACTTAGTACTCTTGATTATACTGATTTCGAGACTTGTGTAGACTGCATCAAGGGTAACCAGACAAACAAGTCTAAGAAGAGTGCCAAAAGAAGTTCAAACGTATTAGAAATCATACATACTGACATATGCTGTCCAGACATGGATATGCCCGGTCAGAAATATTTCATCACCTTTATCGACGATTACTCACGATACATGTATGTTTATTTGCTTCATAACAAGCATGAAGCAATAGATGCCTTCAAAGTCTTTAAGGCTGAAATAGAGAATCAATCCAGGAAGAAAATACGAATAGTGAGATCTGATAGAGGTGGTGAATATTATGGTAAGTACACTGAGAGTGGACAAGCACCTGGTCCTTTTGCCAAGTTTCTTCAAGAACATGGGATTGTTGCCTAACACACTATGCCTAGATCTCCGGACCAGAATGGTGTTGCAGAAAGAAGGAACCGAACATTGATGGACATGGTGAGGAGTATGCTTAATAACTCCAATCTTTCTAAATTTTTGTGGGCTGAAGTACTAAAGACGACTGCATATATATTAAACCGTGTTCCAACCAAGGCTGTCCCAAAAACACCTTTTGAATTATGGAAAGGTTGGAAACCGAGTTTGCGACATATGCGTGTTTGGGGATGTCCGTCTGAGGTAATAATATATAACCCACAAGAGAAAAAGCTAGACCCAAGGACAATTAGTGGTTTTTTCATTGGCTATGTTGAAACGTCTAAGGGTTATATATTTTACTGTCCATCTCACACTACTAGGATTGTGGAATCAAGAAGCGCCAAGTTTCTTGAAAATGACATGATCAGTGGGAGGGATCGGTTCAAGGACTTAATTCCTAATCATGATCATACAGAAACTCAACCTTCCACATTTTCAGATAGATTGGTAATAGTTCATAGCACTCATCAAGTTCAAATAAATGTTGAACAACCAATCGCTGAAGTTCCACAAGTTGCTGAGAATCTTCCAATGGATCAATCAGTTCAGGAAATACCTCAAGTTCCTGAACAAATAGTTGAGCCACAAGCTTCTCATGGAGAAGATGGTCCAACATTAAGACGATCTACTCATGAAAAGAAATCAGCAGTTCCTAGTGATTATATAGTGTATCTACAAGAATCTGACATTGAGTCGAAAATGATTCTGAAACATTTTCACAAGCCATGAATTGCAAATAGTCTGATTCGTGGGATGATGCTATGAAGGAAGAAATGAATTCCATGAAGAGCAATGGAGTCTGGAATCTTGAAGAGTTACCTAATGGAGCAAAGGTCATTGGCTGTAAATGGGTCTTTAAGACTGAAAGAGATTCATCAGGCAACATTGAGAGATACAAAGCGAGACTCATTGCTAAGGGGTTCACTCAAAAAGAAGGAATTGATTACAGGAATTACATGAAAACCTTTTCTCTTGTATCTAAGAAGGATTTTCTTCGTATTATTTTGGCATTAGTTGCACATTTCGACCTTGAGTTGCATCAAATGGATGTGAAAACAACATTTCTTAACGGTGATCTAGAAGAGGAGGTTTACATGAAGCAACATGAAGGTTTCTCTTCTAGTGATGGCGAGCATTTGGTTTGTAAGCTTAAGAAATCCATATACGGTTTAAAACAAGCTTCCCGTCAGTGGTATTTCAAATTCCATGAAGTAATTTCTTCATTCGGTTTTGTTGAAAACCCCATGAATCAATGTATATACCAGAAGGTCAGTGGGAGTAAAATTTGTTTTCTCGTTTTATATGTGGATGATATTTTGCTTGCAACTAATGACAAGGGTATGCTGCCTGAGGTGAAACAATTCATCTCTAAAAACTTTGATATGAAAGATTTGGGTGAGGCATCTTATGTCATTGGCATCAAGATCCATAGAGATAGATCTCGCGGTGTTCTAGGTCTATCACAGGAAACCTATATCAATAAGGTTTTGGAGAAATTTTGGATGAAGGATTATACACCAAGTGTTACTCCCATAGTGAAGGGCAATAAGTTGAGTTTGAATCAATGCCTGAAGAATGACTTTGAGAGAGAATCCATGAAAAATATTCCATATGTTTCTGCAGTTGGGAGCCTTATGTATGCTCAAGTCTGTACAAGACCTGACATTGCATATGCAGTTGGGATGCTAGGACGATATCAAAGTAATCCAGGTATGGACTACTGGAGAGCTGTAAAGAAAGTCATGAGGTATCTCCAATGAACTAAAAACTACATGCTTATGTATAGACGGACGGACAGCTTGGATGTGGTTGGCTATTCTGATGCAAACTTTGCCAGCTGTGTTGATTCTCGTAAATCAACGTCTAGGTATATTTTTATTATGGCCGGTGGAGTTGTCTCATGGAGAAGTGTTAAGCAAACTTTGACTACCACTTCTACAATGGAAGCTGAGTTCGTCTCCTGTTTTGATGCTACTTCGCATGGTGTATGGCTTAAGAGTTTCATTTCTGGGCTTAAAGTAATGGATTCTATTTCTAGGCCTTTAAGGATTTTTTGTGACAACTCAACTGCTGTGTTTTTGGCTAAGAATAATAAGAGTAGGAGTCGAAGCTAACATATCGACATTAAGTACTTAGCCATTAGAGAACAAGTTAAAGAAAAGAAAGTGGTCATTGAGCATATCAGCAGTGAGTTGATGATTGCTGATCCTTTGACTAAGGGCATACCACCATTGAAATTCAAAGATCATGTAGAAAGAATGAGACTTGTTTCTACTTTGTAATTGTATATATACATTCAGATTATTGATGAAACTCTTATATATGCTCAGATGTTTTCTCATATTTGTGTGCACTTTAAATTATTTGAGAAAATGTACTTTTATTCTAGACCTAGAATAAACATAAGGTTTATTCATTAAGTGTTGTTACCACATGAAACTTGGGAAGTAAAATGCATTATAATACATAGTTGATATTACTCGCATCTAGAGGACCTATCACTATGATTCGTGTATTTTGTTTTCTCATGAAGGTTATTAGTTAACATTTGCACCAAGTGGGAGTTTTACGTTACATTTGCACCAATTAATAACATTATTGTAGTGCAACATGTAACATGAAAACGTTACATAATTGTGGCGCAAATGATGGCAGGTAATGCAGTAATGGGAGTAATGCGAAAAAAAGTTTCAGTTTCTTCTTTCTAAAGCTGTTTTGATGGTAGACGGCTATATAAACCCATTATTTTGGTCCTCTCACTACTCTCTTCTGCTCACTTACACCATCTAAAATAAAGAGAAAAAGTGAGAGAAAAATTATCTTGCTGAGTTGGGACATCAAGGTGGCCGGACGTGGGTTCAGCTTTGAGACAAAAATTATCTTGCCAAGTAACAAAGACAATGGCTGGAGGTAAGTCAAATTTTGTTTTGCATGTTTAGAAACATGTCTTGAGTTTATCGTATCCACTAACAAAAGAACCCCACAAGGACTCATCACATAGTGAAGCCATGGAAAACTTAAGAGAGAAGGAAGAGAACCTGCTCTTATACGGTGATACCATGACAATACTAATACGAAACAGACCATATTATATTTTCTTAGGCCTTTTTTTTTCTCATTTTTGGGGTGAGATGTTGAAACTGTTACTATTTTTTTTTTATCTTTTGTCATATGCTCAATTTGTATAGCACTTGATGGAAAAGATAATTTTATAAATGCATAGAATGGCTCACGCAAGTTCCCATTGAGCTTAGAAGTGTGGACAAGCATAAGCCCACCTCTACCTTGTGCTGAAATTTAATCAATTATAGTAGAGGCCATAAGGATCCAATACTAGACCATTTAGTCAAACAGGTTTCGCTATCATCTTAAAGGACCATTCAACTTAAAAGCTTAAACTGTTGGGTGAGATCCCCGAATAGGTTTGCATACTTCAACAATGGATAAGTTCTTGTAAGAAGGCAGATATTAGGCACAAGGTATTAGCAATTTTTATATTTATCTTATCACCAAATGAATTACTCTCACCAAAAAACAATATAATTTCCAAATGGTGATGCCTTAAATTTATATGAAAAAAGCAAACAAAAGGGAAAATATGATAAGGTTAGCAGATGCACCCACTCACGATGGCTTTTGGGGCCTTCTTGCTCGCACACCCATAATTGTGAGACCTTTTAAAGTTTATAAACAGACCGCATATGCTCAATTTATAACCTCTAACTTGAGCACACTCACCTTATTACTTATTAGTAGCTAAGAATATACAGAATTACTAAAAACTAGGTGCTTTTTACAATTGTACAGATACTGAAAAACTCAAATTTTGGCTCCCTCATTGACTTCACTCTTCAATTCCTGTGGACCAAAAGAGGTGTGTGAGTTTCTGTGAACCTTAAAAAAATTTAACCTGCTATGTTATTGAAAGAAATTAAATTTTTATCATATATTTTCTCACTCCATACTTGATCGTCTCCCTGTTATAGATGATGTACTTGAGCGGCTCCTTGAGCTTTCATATCCAGAGTGAACGAGAAGAGGATCACTCATGATATCCTGTAGAAAATTTCACAGCAATTTGTTGAGTATTTCAGGTTGTCTGTTCAACTGAGTCGCAGAGTCCGACAGAGGTACTTAAAAGTTAAACATATGTTAAATCTAAGATTTCTTGTTGTTTAACAATTTCTTTCAATCTTTGACAAGAGGAGATGTAAGTCTTAATCATCATATGGATATGGCAACAGATACATCTAAAAATATGGAAAGTGTTGGATGGTTTCTGAGATGCCTAGAAACAGATTTTGATACTGTGATATGGGGTCCAAAATATAACTCCATTTTTAAATCTAGGACAAAGATACAGACATAGATACCAGCATTCCACTTTAAATTTTATAAACTATTTGTCTTTTGCAATATTTATAATAAATGTGAAATTTATCATGGTAAAATCTGCTAAAATAAACCATTAAATATTTCTATGAAAAAAAAATAAAAATTTTAAATTATTTTTGGGTATTTGGGTATGAAAGGATTAGGGGTGTCAATTGAACTGGCCTTCCAGTCCAATGTGAATCCGTTACAAAAGGATCAGGTCAAATTCAATCCAATAAATATTTTGGACCATTTTGGATTGATCCAATTCAATGTCCGGGTCATCTAATATGTTCAAATTTAATTTATTTTAATTTAGATTAATTCTATCCAAAACCTGGTCCAGTGACACTTATATTCTAATCTTTTATTAGTGGACCAGATATTGGCTCAATCCAGCCCAACCCAATATAAATATATTACGGATGGACCAGATCAAACCCAATTCAATAAAAACTTTGGACCATTAAGTTTGGACTGGTCCAATTCAATATATCTTGTTAGTCCATCCAATCCGTCCAAATTGATTTTGGTTTGGTATAAAGGTGAAAATCACCTAGATAACCTATTTCTACTAAAATATATAAATATTTTTTTACCCCGGGTTATTAGAATCTGTTGGTACAGTTTACAAAAGCTATTTGTAGAATTCTGACGCTAATTAAACTGGTGCATGCACAATTAGAAACAAAATTCCAGCTTCCGAATTTGCTTTATCTAAGTAAGCATTTTGAACATACCTGCGTCATTGAAATTTGACTGTGGTTAGGGGAGGGGCATGCACTACCCAGGACGAGGCTAGGCATGTTTTCCTCAGCAAGGTTTCTTAGTCTGTTGAGCTCTGGCAAGACTTCAGTTCCCAGATCTGGTCGATCCTTCCGTCTCAGCTCTGCACACCTCAGTGAGAGCTTTGCAAAGATCAGGGCCTCCTCAACTGGCCAGTCAGGCACAGCAGGGTCCAACATTTCAGTGAATGTTCCCTTCTCAATAGCACGTTCGACGTGGTGTGTGAGGCCCATTGGTGGCTTCGCCGTTATTATTTGCAGAAGCATGACTCCCAGAGAATAGATATCAGATTTGATGCCAAGCATTCCGGTCTGTTGGTATTCTGGGTCTATGTAGCAGAAAGTTCCTGCAGTTGATGTCATGCGATACTGGGTGACATTGTCAGCAATGTTTGGGGGGACGAGCCTGGCGAGACCCACATCACTAATCTTACTGACGTAGTTCCTGTCTAGCAAGATGTTGGCTGGCTTGAGGTCACGGTGCACCAGTGGCTCTGGTTTGGTTTGGTGGAGAAAGAGCAGGCCAGTAGCAATCTCTGCTGCAATTCGAAACCTCACCTGCCATGACAGAACTGGGGTGTTCCCTTTGCGAAAGAGGCGGTCTTCTAGGCTTCCATTGGCCATGTATTCATAGACCAGGCAGCCATACTCAGGGCAGGCTCCAAGGAGGAGAACCATGTTAGGATGCCGGATGCAACTCAATATTTCAACCTGCAATTAAACAGTTTCCAAGGAAAAACATTCAGGTCGCTTGAGCAAGGATATGTTTGTGGGTGTTGATTGTATTCCTTGTAGATCTCATGTAAGAGTATGACAGTGGGGTGACAAATTAATACTTTGTTTCCACTGCAACTTTGAGATCTTTTCAGGTCATTAACCAGATCTTGTGATCAAGGCATTTTTCCCTGGAAAGTATCTGAAAGTACTAATTCTTCATGCAGGAGGAATAGAAAGGCAAGATTTTTTTTTAATGTCTGTAGTCTGTACCTCCTGCTGAAACTGTGACCTTCCTTGAGCTGCATCTGGGCGTAGAACCTTAATTGCAACTGCGGTATGATCCAGATAAGATTTATATACTGGCCCATAACCCCCTTCCCCAATTTTACGGTTTTCAGCAAAGTACTCGGTTGCTGCTTCGATCTCCTCAATTGTGTATTTCCTGTACCTGATGTCGCCTTGTGACATAGATTCCACAACCTTCTTCCTCTCCTCTGTTTCTTTGAGGGCCTTCATTTCTGCATTTATTCTCTTTTGGGCTTCCAGCTCTGCAATCCTCTGAGCTGCTTCAGCTGCCTCAATGGCCGCCTTGCACTTAGCCTTCTCCCTCTCTGCAATTGCCAGTGCAGCTTCCTCAGCCATGCGTGCCTCTTCTAGTCTTTGTTCTTCCTCCATTTTCCAGCGGTGGAGCTCCCTTGCCTGTTTGATGAACATCCATTTACCCTTGTTAGAACATCAAAGTGAACTGGGGGGATTTCAGGAACAAAAAAAAATCAAAATCAAAATGCAAAGCCTCTCAGCACCTTCTGTTTTGCAGTAAGTGCTTCTTTGCAAGCTGTACTATACATGTCCATTGTTTGCTTGAGCTCTAGCTTCAGTCTCCTCATCTCAGCTTCTACATCTTCCTGTAAACTCCAACTCAAAATGTTGAGATATTCTGTCACTGTCATGGATGGAAAGTACTTTGTGCTTGCATGAGCTGTGTGTACTTATGTTCTTACCATACTCTGTGATGGCCATGAAGATGAACTATCCTGGGATATTGAAGAAAACCCCATAGATTGCATTGATTCGAAACTTCGGCCGTCTAGATCTGATGCATTTGAAAGCCGTGGGGTCCGGACAGATTCCATATGATCATATAGTGAAGGAGCGAAGGCGCGATCTACGCTTGGTCTGCCGGAGCTTACAAACGATATGTCGGAATCTGGCATGGGGAGCTCTCCATAAGATCTTCCATTCGGAGCTTTTCTGCAGGTGAATGGGGATCTGGTTCAAGTAGTAATAAGTGTGTTAGTTGTTTCAGAAATGCATTGAGTTTCCATATTATCATAGAAAAGTTGAGTTCTCAGTGAGAACTGAGAACCAGCAGCTGCAAGGATTCTTGTATGGCTGACAAGCATCACTGACAAGGATTCTTGTATGGCTTACCTGAAGTTCTCTAACTCTTCATGTAGGCTCATTCGTGGGGGATCGAATGCCACATTATTAACAGGACCTGCTAGTAGAGGATCCAAGTAATTTGATTAACTGTTGTGAAGAAGAAGAAGAAGAAGAAGAAGAAGAAGAAGAAGAAGAAGAAGAAGAAGAGGGAGGAGGAGGAGGAGGGAAGGCATGAGAATTGATATGATTTATAAAAGCAAACCTCTTGTTGAATTACTGTGCTGTGAGAAAGGTTGCTCAGGTGCTGGGTCAGGTTTGATGCTGTTTTGATTCTGCATTTGTAGTTGGGCTCGGAGTGGAGAGATGGTTGGTGCTGGACGAGAGGCTGATCTAACAGATGAAATCTTGCCTTTGGAGATGACATACACAGTGCAGAAATCTGGTGCACCTTTTGACACACTTGTAGGAACATCCGCACTCCTAAATCTTCTGTGAGAAAAGGTTTTAAAAGTTAAAGGAAATCTGAAGATGAAGTAGATAATTTCTCATACTTTGTTTTACTGTATCACCAAGCAATGTCCCTAAAGGAAATGAAGTTTTGAATTTTTGCTGAAATTCCAAAGGAATTAACCGTGTTGCTTCAATATTCATCTCATGCCTAACTCAATTCAATTTTCTATCTTAGTCTTAGTTCAGTTTGTTTGAAGTATGGGAATGCAAATGAGAATGGAGATAGGAGGGGGGGGGGGGTTATTTGTTCTGGAGTGTTGTAGGAAGCAAGATGATGCGGTTTCCACAATATATGAGAGAGAGAGAGAGAGTTGAGGTAGGAGAAAGGTGGTATCAATTTTACATCAGTTTCTGGCATGCAAAATTTGCATTGCAGTGAGTTCAAAGGAGACAAAATACAAATCTTGTATCATCGGTTAGGAATGCAAATCATGATTATAAACAAATGGATACAAAACTGAACCAGGTGCAAAATTCGTATACAGATCAGATTTGCACTGCAAACAATAAAGAGCCTTATCCTAATATAGGGAAAATCTATGATGCGGAAAAGATATGGTATGGAAAAAGTTTTGACCAGTCAAAATCCATTCATGAATTTTGATAAATAACACCTGATTGGCTATCAAGTTTATGATAACAGTTGATTGATAAGAAGTTTTTCAGATATCATATCTTTTCCCTATCATAGTCGAACCCACTAATATATTATAATCCTTCCGGTCTCTACTGATCTTTTGTTAAGCTTGGCTGAATACTTTTAGCCAAAAAATATAATAATTTAATAGTGATATCGTTTTGAAGCACTAATAATTTAATAGTGGATATCGCTTTAAATAGAGCGCATTAAAAAAAAAAAACAGAATTGTTAGGATACCTTATGATATGTTACAGATAAGAGGTTACCTTAAAAAGGAATTCCTTGATGAGGCACCAACGACCAAATTCTCAATTGAGTAATTTGTGACATACTCGATCAAAGCTTTTGCTACATCTGAATCTTCAATTACAACGTCCTTACATTGTATCTGGTGCAAATATATCGCATGCATGCAGTAATATAAACAATTAGTATATAAAACGATTAATGCCTAGTGCATATATATCTGTGGATTCATGCAATGTCCTGAGAAATGTTTTCATCAAAACCGGAACAGACAATCTTGTTTTTGATCCACATGTTGGACCAAATAAACCTGAGCTAGCCCAATATTCAGTGAAAACACTCCGGTCCGGTTTTGGAGGCTGGACCAGAAGCACTTAAACTGGTGAAAACATCAATCATCAGAATTAATGGAGAATTGGAACCCACGTCTTTTCGTGTACAAAAGCAACGAAAGGGAAGGAACAATTCCTTGGTTTGGCTATCTTGTTCTCGTCGATATGCCGATGCAACATCCTCTCTGACATCTGTTATGGAGACATGGCTACCCACTGCAACCATAAGAGGTTGATCAATTAGAAAACAAAAGAGCATGGCCATTCACTAAGAAGCATTTCTCTAAAATTTAAACTCATAATGTTTTGGATTTGATTGGATATATTGAAGTTGGGTTGACATTTAATCAACAAAAGCACTGATTGAAGTTGGGCTTTCCTATTTCAGCCTCAGTTTTAGTGTTTGAAACACAGTGTTTAAAGCCCAAAAAAGGGTTTTTTGTTTTTGACAAAAATAACAGGGCCAGACATGTTTGGCACCTTGGGTACATAGATCTTGAAAAACTATCCAAAATAAAAGAAAAAGATCACATCAATCGAACATTAGAGTGCAAAATTATGGTCTCTGAAATTTTGTACATACATCAAGTGTGCAACTCACGACCCAGTGCCGGAATCAAATGATTTTGACTAAGTCAATGTTTTCTATCAAAGGTTTCAACAGAACTGGACTTGAAATCAAGACAGGGTGATGATTCAAACCGTTCAAACGGCCAGGTCAATGATGGGTTCAAAACACTACATGAAAATGAGTATTAATACTCCCAATAAATAAATAAATAAATAAGATATTTCAAATAAAATCTGCTATATGTTATCTTCCTAAAAAAATAAATACTAAATTTCTTCACTATAATTTTAAAAAATTTGCATCCGCACCCTACAAACAGGTCATAGCACATCTCAACCGTCTATTAAAAACATCTCCCATATATTCGAACTCAAATTTCAACTACCATTACGAGTAAATGATCAGCTAGCTACTTATTAGAAAAAGAAAAAGAAACATTGAGCACTACAACAACAACAACAACAACAACAACAACAACAACAACAACAACAATAATAATAATAATAATAATAATAATAATAATAATAATAATAATAATAATAAATGAAAGAAGAGTATTGCCTTTTTAAAGGCAATATTTGCACCACATACCCAACTTCGAGGATACATCATACATGCAAAATAACTATATACAATATAAATAAAGCGAATATCATATCTCTTCATTTGCACTATTTTATGCCATTTTGCACTGCACTTGCCTTTCTGTATGTAAATATAAAGCAGACTCTGGACCTCTTTGTTATTGTAGCACTAAGTAGGGGTGTCAATGGGACTGGATTTGGTCCAATCCGATCCAGCCCAATGTGAGTCTTATAAATGGATCAGGTCCAATTCAATCTAATGATTGTTTTGGATCGGTCCAATTTAATGTGTGGACCATCTAATCTATTCAATTTCATTTTGATTTAGATTGATTTCAATCCAAACCCGGTCCATTGACACATATATTCTTATCTTATATCAATGGACCAGATATTAGTTTAATCCAATACAATCTGATATAAATCTATTATGAACGGATTAGGTCCAATCCAATCTAATAAATATTTTAGACTGGATTAATCCAATCCAATATATCTTATTAATCCGTCTAATCCATCCAAATTCATTTTGAACTGGAGAGGGTCTAATCCAAAATTGATCCATTGACACCTTAGCACTAACACATCAACAAATTTAGAGAGAGAGAGAGAGTTACTTGGATTAGGAATTGATGATGCCTTTTGGTTGACATGGATTAGAATTACAGTTTGGCCTTTGCCGAGAATATGTTCAACAGCCCATTTCAAAGCATATTGGCTCCCTTTGTCCTTGTCAATTGCCACTGCAACTAACCCACGTGACTCATTATCCCTCTTATCTGAATTCCCCTTAGACAGCCACATTGCTTGCTTTCTGGAAGCTAAGAGAGAGAATCAATCTGGATTCCAGATGCAAGATCTCCTTCTTCTTTAGAGAGATGGATGACCAATCACAAATCCTTCTATTACAAACATACCTAAATGCTGAAATACTTACAGAAAAAAAAAACAATAAAAAGAAAGGAGAGAGAGGGAGAAAGAGATGAAGAAGAGAGAATATATTTTATTTTCTTCTGATCTTTTTCAACACTCCACCAGCTGAACCTTTCTCTAAAGGTTCCAGAGAGACTTTTGATAATCTTTTCTCTCGAACCTCTAGAGCTATGGCCAATAGAAGAAGAAAGGGAATTTATTGTTCAAATCGGTTTTTAATTCAGTTTTGAATTCTTCTGTTCACCTCTTCTCTCTCTATCGTCTCTAAATTAGGGTTTTGTTGTTCCTTCCAAATACACGCCACACAAACAATGTATGATTTCCCTCTGATTTAGGCATCCCGCTCTTCAAGTTGACCGTTGACTAAGTAAAGGCCCTTGGCGGGAAAGGAAACTTTTCGCTTCTATGGACTATCCATGCCTCTCCACCCTTACACGTTACAACTCGTAAGAAGCCATCTTACACAATAATCCTACCCACATGACACTACAGCTGTACACTGGGACATTTTCCCTATAAATCATAATAGGAGATATTCTCAATATACAGCTGTAGTGAGGCCTGAGTAGGGTTCTTGTGGATATAAAGGAGGCCATGAAAAACTTATTTTGAATCATTATGATATTTTAATTTTAGGGTCATTGCTGAACCCACCCCTATGCCCCCCTGAATTTTTAGACCGTCCATGAAACTTCCCTTAAAGTTTGGTATAATTGAAATCATCTCCCCTGAACTTTCTTATACAGTTGCAAGTACACCCCTTTAGAATCCTCTTAAAAGAAGCATGAAAAAGTTCAAAATACCCATGCATTTACTATTGAGGCTGGTTTCTGGTTTCTATAGAAAAAAAAAAAACAATACAATCTTTATGAACAAGAGAGAGAGAAAGTTAGCAAGGTGTCAATTGGTTGGATGGTAAGGCCTCCTACTAGTTGTAGTGGAGGCTTGGGATCAATCTCACCTGCCCATGGCTGGGGGTCATGGGTTGGGGGATGGGCTAGCCTCCATTGGTTGTATCGTCCCATGGAGTGAAAAAATAACAAGAGAGATTAAAGTTGTAGTAGCTTTATCCTTGATAGATTGTTATGGCAAATTTGAAAAATATATCAATTTCGGAAAAGAGATTGGAAGCGTTTAGCGTAGCAATTGATAAGAACAAAAAATTTGGAAAATAAGAATCATTTTGGTAAAGTAACTTCATGGGCATTTTAATGCCTTTTGTTAAAGGATTCTAATAGAGCCATGGGTATTTTAAACTCTCTTATTACTAAGAATTATTGTTATTATTATTATTATTATTATTATTATTATTATTATTAGTTATTATCTTTATTATTTTTATTATTTTAATGTTAATGTTATTATTAAAATAACAAGTAATATAAATTTATTAATGTTAATTATAATTAACATAAATATCCATTCTCATAATAAATTATAGGGGCAAAATTGTAAAGTAACCATATTCAGCATTCAGTGCCTAGGTTTAGCTTAACATTCTTTGCATTCAAATATCAAATAATGCAAAAAAATGTCAATTTTCAAAGTACATTTTTCAGAGGTTTTCGCTTTTTATACATCAAACTTTAGACCAAAAGAATGACTTCTTTAAAAAACCTAAAGTTTTAAAATAGACGTAAATATACCTTGTGGTCTAACTCCACTAGACTTAAGTATACCTTGTGAACTAAGTTAAAATTTTTAAAGACAGCATACCCCTATGGTTTTAGAAATCGACTTAAAGGAACCCTGAAGCTTTATAATAGACTTAGCGTGTGTTTTGTTCCACGGGTGTTTCATGATAGGCATTTATTAAAATGTCGCCATATCATCGCCAAATCAACATTTAGCCCATCATGGTGATCGATACGTATAGATACTCACAAAAGCTAGTCTTAATTTATGTGCACGCCTACTATTGGGGAAAGTTTCAATTTAACGCTTCCCCCAATGGTTAGGCGTTTATTCACTATTCTGCTAATGTGGTGCCTACTTGTCATAAACGGTTGATATTATTACTTTTCTCTATTTTGAAGACAAATCAGGTACAACGTTTAGTTAATAAATGGAAGCTCTACCAAACACATACTTAAATATACCTTGTGGGCTGACTCCATTGGACTTAAATATACCTTGTGAACTAATTTAAAATTTTTAAATTACTATTTTTCCCTTCTAAGTTCTTTAATAGAGGAGAGCTTTGATCATTTTGGTAGCATAGATTACAAACAAGGTTGGATAATTCAATATTTCAAATCTTTCTTGGAGTTTCAAAAATTGTCTTTAGGCCCCGTTCTCTTTTTGGTAAGTTACTTACCCAAGTAAACGCAATTACCTAAGTTATCCAAGTAAGTGCATTTACCCATGTTCTTTTATTTCCCAAGTAAATAAGGCAATTATCATTTTAGCCATAAAAAGAACGCCCCCTTAGATCAGTGGTTGCCTAGTTGGTTAATAACACCTATGAATTTCTCATGGATCTAAGTACTTCATCTTAGATGAGGCTTTAGATTGGTGGTAAGAGCCAAACAAACGTAACTAGGAAAATTAGAAATTCGAAGACTAGTGAACAAGGCTAAGATCTCTACCTTCGTAGAACTTGCAGTCCTAATAAACCCACTGAAAGCCCGAATGTCCTACCAAGTTTTTAAAACCGACCCGAATAACGAACTTGTTAGGGGTCCAATTCCTGAGTCGAACGGTCTGATTGTTCGAATCGAACGGTTGGCCCATTCTGACAAAAATAAAAATAAATAAAAAATGGTCAAAACTGTTGAACAACTTGAATGGTTTTAATGCTCGAGTCATCAGTTTGTTGACCAAATCAACATTTTTTGGCAAAAATCCAATTTTGGTGAAAAACGAAACGATCAACTGACCTGTTCTCAATTTTTCCGGTCCGACCGTTAGGTCCGGTCTAGTTTTGAAAAGCATGTGTCCTACCTCTAATTGACAAAAAGATTCCCCCTACACCAGCCAAACTGGGGTTACCTAAGGAGTTGCCATCAAATATGAAAAAAACAGTGCCATCTATATCATTAAAGTTATCAAGTAGCCTCATTTTTTTCTTCCTTAGGCTTCATTCTGTTTACAATGCAATTTTATTTGTATTGACACAATGAAGGAAGGTGCAATTCAAAAGTCATACTAAGGTGGTGTTTAATAATACTTTTTAGATGTCCAATATTTGAGAACTTTGCTTTTCAAACCCCACCAATGTTTGGGTTTAAGTCTGATTAGAGGTTCTGAAACACAAATTCAGAATGAAATGGTAAGGACTTGGTTTCTTGTATTACCAAAATCAGATGAATTTCATACATGATAAAATTATATTAATGCCCTCATTATTGTCATCAATTTAATAATAATAGTAATAAATATTATTATTCCATATTTATTATTAATTAATTAACTAATAAATAATATTATTTTTATTTGAATAAATAATAAAAATTAGTAATAATAATTAATTAATAATATTATTAATAGTAGTATTAAATAATAATATGTTTATTAATAATGATAATAGTAAAAGTTTATTTAATATGATCTAATAATAATAAACCCATATTTTTATAAATATTTATTATTAATTAATGAATATTATTGTTTCTTTATTTAAATAAATAATAATATTTAGTAGTAATATTTATATAGTAATAAGAATATTTAATAACATGTGTATTAATAATAATTAAAATATTTTTATTTATTACTAGTTAATAATAATAAATATTATCAATTAAACAATAAATAATTATTTATTTCAAAAAATAATAATATTTGTTTATTAATATAATACTATTTTATTTAATATTATTTTTTTAATTCATAATATTATCAAACAATCCATTTCTAAGGGTAAAATAGTAAACTTCATGGTTTCAGAGAGTAATTCAAATGATCTTATCTTTTAGAACCTTTAAAAATCAGAAAATCATTTATACTTCTTTTCATATTCCAGACCCTAATAATAGCTTTTTGACATTTTATACATCAAACTTCCACCGACCCACTATATTGATTAAATGGAATTGGGTCTAATTCAATGGGGGATCTATGTAGAAGCTAGTGTGAGCAATTGCCCTCACTAAGATTTGAAGTTGTTGTATATGTGTATATTGAAGACATTTATTTATTTTTTACAATTGCCCCCACTCAAATAAAATAATAGGAGATTAAATAAAATTTGACTTTTTAAATAAGGTCATTTCTCTAGTTTTAAACAGGCCTAAGAGGTGAGGCCCCAGGTGTGAGGTGTGCCCCCACTAATCAAAGGTAACCACTTATCTGCAGATTATCCGACTAAAATGTTATGAAAAAGAAAGATGTATTGTGTCTGTAATTTGAACCTTGGTCTAAATAAAATTTAATTGCAGACATATTAGGCCTTATGTCTTTATTTTGCCTCGTATGGTCTTAATTCCAGAATAATTTGAACATCTCTAATGCGTTTGCAGCTCCAACAGTTGATGTTAATTGGCGAAACAACACCAATCCGCAACCTCCTCAACAATAACAGGATTTATGTTTGCAAGATTGGAGAAAGCCTCCCTATTTATTATCTATTAAAACCTATTTTGGGCAGCACGTTTGTTCTTGCATTTGTATTGCTACTTTCAACGTAACTTTTCGCCCTATATTCTTTTGGGTTTGACTATGATATGAAAAATATATAATATCCGAAATCAATTAACTAGAATCATAAAAGTGGTAGTAATTCAGGTGTTATTTATTAAAATTTATGGGTAAATTTTGATTTATCAAAACTCTTTCTATATTATATTTTTTCTGTATCATAGATTTTCCTTTTTTTTAATTTTTTTTTAAATTAAAAATAGGGCTGGAAATAATATATATAATCTATTAAG